CTTCTAAATAATAGACTAACATAAATAACAAATGTCATGCTGGGCTTTGATTCAGATTTAAAGTTAAAACTAAACAGTTTTTATCTAAACGGGTTTAATAACTGATAAGAAATAAAAGGTGCTATAGTTACATGGCAAATTTTAAACAATATTTTATATAATAAATAAATAAATATTAATAGTTTATTCGTACATACACAGAGTACACAGCAAAACATGACAAGAGAAGTGCTCAGTGAACTGAGAGTTTGTCAGTCTGGGATGGCTGGAAACTGCAGTTTTCAGCGGATGTGAAAAATGTTCCTGTGACATTTAGTTTGGAGGAAGAGAGTCTTTTTTGTTTCAAAGCTGCTGACTATGGAGCTTGACTGATGTAGAATAAATACTAAATATTTTTAATGCACCACCTTTAGTAGTTTAAGGAGTTAATGTCAGGCAGAAGAAATTAATACTGTGTTTAATGTGTGTAATCACACATTCAACACAGTAAATCACAAGGGCAGAACACAAGCTCATCGTCTGCGTAGAAACTGATCTGAGGCTGATTTCTCTTCATGCTCTCTTATTTTCTGGCAGCTCATCTGACCATGACTCCCAGCAGCTCTCAGTTCTTCAGCTGGACACCTGTCACTCTGAGCTGTGAGGAGGTCGACGACTCCCCCGGATGGACGCTGAGGAGGAACACCACAACAGACAACCATACTCTATGTGGTGCATGGGGAAAGCCTGTTGGTTCTGCCTGTAACATCAGCTACATCGTCCCACGGGACAGTGGAGTCTACTGGTGTGAGTCCAGAGACGGAGTGACCAGTAACCCCATCAACATCACCGTCACTGGTAAGATCACGCCGTCGGCACACGAACAGTTTACGGTGCAGATTTACCATCAGAATTCAGTCGGTTCTGAAACTGTGTGTCTCTGATGATAGAAGCAGCATCTGGTTTCTAGCCGACAGCCACAGTATTTAGTAGAATACTAAATACTAGAAAAATAAGGACCTGTTAAAGAGGATGAAGAAATCATCCTCTTAAGAATGTTTCAAAAAAAGTTTTCTATGTTAAAGGAGTCGTGATTCTTGCTTCTGAACCGAACATTACAGACAACTTAGTACTTTTTAATTAGTACTTTTAGAGTTGAACAATGGCATTGGCACCAGATGCTGAAACCTGACAAAATGTAGCTATTTAACGCTTTGGGAATGAGAACGGGTTTATTGGTGCTTTAGGAAGTTTGAGGCTATACTGTTAACATGACATTAGTGCTAAACTGGTGGATAAAATGGCATGAGGTAATTTGAGCCAAAAGACAGGTGGGAAGTTGAGCGGGCTATTTCACTGTAATTCTACATTGCATTCTTACATTTTTTCACCAATATGATGCAACATTATGAATTTTAGACACCATCATGCCATGTTTCTATAAATGGACAACAGACAGGCTTCAACTGCTCTTTTGGATTTGGTCAGATGAGTGGGAGAGGTACAGAACAGGAAGTCCGCAGGTCAGGAGGGGAACTGAAGATCAACAGGATGACTTTAAAGCTTACAGATGCCATCAAAAATCTAGTGCATGTTGTGAACATAATGTCTAGTGCATGATGTTGTGAAGTGGCTTTTGAGTTGGCATGACAAAATGATACTGATGTCCCTGAACCCCACATGCCTCAACTTAGTTTGGGATCACCCATCCCTAGTCATTGTTGCTAAGCTGTGATTGTACCATCACACGGTTTAGCACACATGGCCACTCTAGCGACTCTGTGAGGTCTTAAGGTTTATTTGAAAACTAAAACCTCTTGTATCTCGTGTTGAGATGGACCAGTGATCCTGCAGAGTCCCGTCCACCCTGTGATGGAGGGACATGATGTCACTCTGCACTGTGAAACAAAGAACCTTTCCTCCAACCTCCCAGCTGGTTTCTATAAAGATGGCTCCCTCATCAGGACTGAGCCTACAGGTCACATGACCATCCACCATGTTTCCAAGTCTGATGAAGGCCTCTACAAGTGTAACATCAGAGGCCATGGAGAGTCTCTATCCAGCTGGATCTCCGTGACAGGTGAGGAGGTTACCTTTGATTTCAGGACTCATTTCATCCAGAGATTCACCTGCTGTAGATTCCTTACACAGAAACACAAAACACAATTTTTGGTTCTCAGGAGTGTTCAGTCCCCAAACTCTACACCGAGATTTGATAAACACCTTTAGTACATCCTGCTTTTTTAATATGGCAGTGTCTATATACAGACGTGGACAAAAAAAGATGGTACCAGTAGAAAATATTGGAAATAATTTGACCAAATAAACATGTTAAACTAAGGTGTTATCTTCAAACTTGTAGAGGGTGAAAAGTCATCACTGTGCTGTCTGGTATCATGGTGTGAGCACACTGAACATAGACCACAGAAAGCTAAGAAGAGAGCTGACTCATAGATAATATATATAATATGATAGACAAACATGTTCAAGGTTAAAGCTTTATGACCAACTCCAAGCAGCTTGATGTTCCTGTGACTACAGTTGCACATATTCAGAAGTTTAAGGTCCAAGGTACTGAAGCCAAACTCCCTGGACATGCCCGCAAGAGGAAATTTGATGACAAATGAAGAGACTGATACTATAAATGGTAACCAAAGAGCACAGAACAACTTCCACAGACATTAGAGGTGAACTCCGAGGTCAAGGTACATCAGTGTAAGATCGCACCATCCTTCACTGTTTGGACTTAATGGAAGACAACAGAGGAGTTCACCACTGTTGAAAGCAAATCATAAAAAACTATATTGACAAGCCACAAAGCTTCTGGGAGAATGTCCTTCCGACAGATGAGACTGGAGCTGTTTGACAAGTCACATCAGTTCTGTGTTTGTGGACGCAAAAATAAAGCATGCAAAGAAAAGAACACCGTACCTACTGTGAAGCGGGCTGTGGCGCTGCTTTGCTGCATCTGGCACAGGGTGTCTTGAATCTATACAGGGTACAATAAAAACTCAAGACTATGAAGGCGTTCTGGAGCAAAATGTGCAGCCCAGTGTCAGGAAGCTTGGTCACGGGTCCTCCAACAGGATAATGACCCACAGCGCAGCTAAAAACACCCAAGAATGGCTAAGAGCAAAACATTGGACTATACTGAAGTGGCCTCCTATGAGCCCTGATCTAAATCCTACAGAACATCTGTGGTTAGGAGCTGAAACATGCAGTCTGGAGACGGCACCCTTTGAACCTGAAAACACCTGGAGCAGTTTGCTTAAGAGAATTGGGCCAAAATACCTGTTGACAAGTGCAGAAGTCTCATTGAGAGTTACAGATGCTTGAGTGCAGTGACCTCTAAAAATTAAGTTCAGGGAATCATCATTTTTGTCCGGGCCAGTTTCATTAGTTTTTTTTTATTATTCTGTTGAACCACAGTTTAAAAGCAATGTCTGATTTTCACCAATTGTTACTGAAGGGTACCAACGATTTTGTCCACATCTGTACATCTCGCCACCTTTGAACCGCCCACCAAATGAGAGAAAACGTACCTTGAAGCCCGTTGAGCACCGGTTCGAGGAAACATGTTGTTCAACCCAGAACCCCTTAGCAAACTGAATTTGGTGTGTAGCTTCCCGAACCATCGACCCACCAGGTGTGCCTCTCTCTACAGGTACCAGTGCCTCCAACCAGCTGGTGTTCAGATTGTTCCGCCTCCTGGTGGTGTTCTGCCCGTACTGCATCTCCACTGTCCTCATGGTGTCTTTATATCGACACAGGTCCAAAGGTAAGACCCAGCGTCTTAACCTTCAGTAATGTGACATAAATCTGAGTCATATCACTGTAGAAGCCGACCACAATCCAGTCCAAGACTAGGTTTTTAGACCTAAAAGCACATTCAGTAGAAACCTTTTGCAGGTCAGTCAAAAGAGACGTTAGGGAATTGTGTTCTCGGTCTAAACAAATATGTTGCCAACTCTTATAGACAGGGAGAAAAGCTTTAGAGTTGATGAACAATGAAAACATTGTTATACACCATGCGGATAAAGGATTAAGCCTTACATACATATAAGAAACAAAGAGGATTACACTGTCTGAACTCAGATCTGAGTTCAGACAGTAGACTCTATGGTCTATTATTGTGAAACAATAAGTTAAAAGGGGGATTTAAATCTCACTTCTGCAGGCAGAGAACTACGGATTAGCCCTGGGTTTTGCCTCTCAGTCTGTGTACGGAGATTAAGGAGATTCGGTGCCGCTGCCAAATTATCAACATCTGTAAAATTGATTATTAGAAACGACCGTGGAGTCAGTAGCTTTTCATTAATGAACATAACTTGTGCTGCTGCAGCTCAGCGTCTCTGTTTGTTCCATCTATTCAGAGTAAAAAACACTTTAACACCGACTCTTCTGCCTGCAGGAGGTGACCTGCCTGTCTCCCTGGCAACGACCCCACCACCCCAAGAAGCTGAGGAGGGACTGGCCGATGACGTCATCGCTGATGTCACTGAGACAGACGCCGCCACCGCCGCTGCACGGTCGCAGCAGGACGCGGACGTCACGCCGTCCTGAGGTTTCATTCACAACAGCATTTGTCTTCGTTATTTCTTCTCCGTGTTCTGCTCGTCCTCCCTCCTCGTCTGCTAATGCTGCATTCAGGCGCTCCTCGGATGGGCCCCCAGGTACTCCTAAGTCTGAATGTAGAAACAACATGGACGCTACTACAAATGTGTGTTGGACTGTCTTTAGTATGTCTTTTTACTGCACCAGTACATTAAAAATACTGCTTGCACTGCAAATCCTGCTAATAAATATCTTCCCTAATGAATCTCGGTCGCTCTACATGGACAGCAAAAACCGTTATAACCTGATACCATATTACAGATGACACGTCACGTGATTTTGCACCATTAATCAAACGTTTTTAACCATCAAACATGTTGTCTGCCATGTTTCTACGTGTAAGACATAGATGCTTTTTATCTCCTCTGTTTGGACGTCTTTCCCTCCGCAGCACAGAAACAGATCCATTCAGTCTTCTGACCACTTTATTATTATTAAAGGAAAATAAACTTTACAGAACACAACTCCCTGTGAGTGTAACTTTATACAGAGGGCAATATAGAGCAGCCAGGCTAGCTGTTTACAGTCTTTATGCTAAGCTAATCTAAGCACAGACATGAGAGAAGCATCTATCTGAACAGAGAGGGAGAAGAGGAAGTGTTGCCTCCTCCTCAGACCCACAGACACCAGCACTGTGCTCCTGCAGAGGCCCCTCCCCCTGCAGAGGCCCCTCCTCCTCGCACCTTCGCAGGCCTAAAACACTAAACGTTTCCACAGCAAGAAGCAGCTAACACCAGAAGCTAACACCAGAGGCTAACACCAGAGGCTAACACCAGAGGCTAACACCAGACACGGCCCCTCAGCTGCACCACGAGGCCCCTCTCAGGGTCTCCAGCCGCGGGTTGACTGTGTGTGAGTTTCCAGTTTTAAATAAAGTTTTATGTCCTGCTGACGTCATCAGTCAGTCATTAAGACTCGTCAGCGTTCAGACTACATTCACATGTGAGTTCAGGGACGGGGCTCAGAGGTCACGAGGGTCCACGGTTGCTATGGCGCTGGGAAAAACAGCTGTCACTCGAACAGAGCAGGCACGATGTCACTGGTTACCGTAGAAACACCATGGTGAGAAGACCTGAGAGAGACAGACACACAGGTGAGTCCTCATATGGTCGTACAGGTCTGCGTGTGTGTGTGTGTGTGTGTGTAACAGGGTGTGTGTGTTACCCAGTGTGTAGGCGCAGACCAGCTTCTGATTGGCGGAGACGTGCAGGCAGCGTGGAACCACGGAGCCGCTGTCAGAGTGGAGGGGGAGCATCAACACTGCGACACACAGCACCGCCGCCAAAACACACACCACCCACTGAGACACGCCGCGCACAGCTGCTCAGCACGCACACACACAGAGGAAAGGTTTTACAGTCAAGTTCACAACAACTAAATCAACTACACGTCCCAGAGTGCACTGCTGCCCCCCCTCCCAGTCTCACCTGTGCAGGCGGGCAGCTGCAGGTGTGCGTGTGAGGGCAGCAGCAGAGGAGACAGGGGAGTCTGAGGAGGCGGCGCCCTCTGCTGGCCTCCTCCAGGTGTCCTCCTCTTCGACCTCTCATCCTCTTCCTCCTCCTCCTCTCCCCCTCCTACTCCTCCCCTCAGCTCGGCCCAGATCTCCCGTCCTCCCACCTGCCCTCCTCCTCTCACCTCCAGACGGAACCGGTCCCTGCGGTCCCAGTTACGAGGGGACACGTCCAGGTGCCGCACCACCCTGACAGGAAGATACCAAAATACTGAAAACACGAAGGTACCAGAGACACGTGGTCGACAGGGACACTCCCTAAAACCTTTTTATTTTTTAACACAAAAATCTCAGACAGCTGCCAATATAGAGCGAAAAAAACATTTCACACCTGAAAGTTAGTAACGAAAAGTTAGGAAAATTAATTAATTAATTACACTGCACGGTTGTAATTCCAGCAGCTTGCTTATTTATGAAAACATCTGGACATCAAACCTCCTCTCACCTGTCCTGGACGTCCTCTCACAGCTGTTAGATTTTCTTTGTGAACTTCAGATGTTTTTATTAAAGTTCAGATGTTGAAGTAGAAGATGGGATTTAATGTTTTTGCTTTTACTTTGTTTTAATCGTGGGATTTTACTGGTCTCTGTGTCGACTACTGCATTTATGGTCTAAGATTTATTGTTCACCAGGTAGAACGAACTGGCGGGATCACTGGACACAAAAATGACTGGTGTGATGAATATAAAGACTAAGAGATGTGAGATCAGACATTTAGCATGAAGTCTTGTCACGGTCTCTTCTGGTCTTCGTTATCAGAGATCAGGGCCCCGTTTCAGAAAGCGGGTTTAGTGAAAACTCGGAGTAAGTTGAGCCTCAGATCAGATGAACTCTGGGTCTGTAACCCCGGAAACTTACGCTGTGAACCAAACCTGCTCGGGAGGAGTTTAGGTTCAACTAACGCCGAGTTTCCCTCTGACTTCCTATCTGTCATCGATGTAACGACAGATCTCTGCACATTGTGGATTTATCCTCAGCACAGAACAAAATCTATAAGCTACACCGTCCTTTATAACTTTATCAAACTGATCAGTGAACAGTAATCTTTGATTTTGTAGTCGCACTGATTGGAAAGTTCCTATCGTAGGCATTAATAAAATACAAGACGAGCAAGACTTTATTAATGCAACATAGACGTCCAAAATTTTAATCTATTGACACATTTTCCACTGCAAAAAGTACTTAATAGTCAAACCTGCTGGGTGTGACTTTACTATCACACGTTCACAAGTAAACTGTGTCTTAGATTTGATCTATTTTCATAATCAGGTAGCCGACCGCCACCGGCATTTAGTCCCGTCGGGTTACAGATTAATAAATAGAGCCTTCCTATTTAAAATGTAATGGGCTGCAGCACTTTTTCATTAAGAAAAGTCCAGTCTGGTAAATGATGAATGAGCAACGCTGTGTAGACTAGTTAACGTATCGATCCTTCACGCCTACGTTTTAGAGCCAATCAGGGTCCGTGTTGGCAGCATTCATATTTCTAGCGCCACCCGATTAAAATGGAGGCTCTGCCTTTATTTACCCGTTGCCATGGTGAATCGTAGTATCGGAGCTCCATCGATGAGGCTTTTTTTCATCCCCACGCACGCACTTCCATCAGGCTCAACATACTCAGAGCTGACTGAACTTATTCTGATCAGAACCCGTTTCCCACCTCAGAGCTCAGAGTTTGATACGCCTGCTTTCTGAAACGGGCCCCGGCTCTCCGAGGAACGTTTGTTTACTCTCTTGACTGGCGAGTTACTGATACTGGGTGGTAGAGCTGCAACAGAAAATTAATGACTATTTTGATAATCGATTAATCGTTTCAGTGACAAATTGTCAGATTTCATCTTCTTAAATGTGAGGAACTGCTGCTAGTTTTAGTCACGTCTGACAGTAAATGAAGAGTCGTGGTAGTTTCGGTCTGTTTGAACAAAAGAAGCAATTTTAAGACGTCACTTTGGGAAATTGTGATGAGCCATTTTTTTTTTAACAGTTTCTTAACATTTTATTGACTAAACGACCGGTCGATTAATCATGAAAATAATCGCCACCATTGTGTCGGGAGTAGAAGTAACAGTACAAGTAGCAGAAGAAGTAGAAATATAAAGTACTATTCGGCGTACTTACAGGTCGACGCAGGACTTAGCTCTGACGCTCCCCTCTGCCTCCACCACTCTGTAGAGAGCTGGAGCTGTACACAGCACTGAGAGAGAGAGACAGGCTGTTAACTTACAGACAGACAGGTAGAGAGAGAGAGAGAGAAGTGAACAGACAGGTGACCAGACAGGTGAACAGGTGAACAGACAGGTGAACAGGTAAACAGACAGGTGAACAGGTGAACAGACAGGTGAACAGGTGAACAGACAGGTGAACAGACAGGTGAACAGACAGGTGAACAGACAGGTGAACAGACAGGTGAACAGACAGGTGAACAAGTGAACAGACAGGTGAACAGGTGAACAGACAGGTGAACAGGTGAACAGACAGGTGAACAGACAGGTGAACAGACAGGTGAACAGACAGGTGAACAAGTGAACAGACAGGTGAACAGATAGGTGAACAAGTGAACAGACAGGTGAACAGGTGAACAGACAGGTGAACAGACAGGTGAACAAGTGAACAGACAGGTGAACAGACAGGTGAACAGACAGGTAAACAGACAGGTAAACAGACAGGTGAACAGACAGGTGAACAGACAGGTAAACAGACAGGTAAACAGACAGGTAAACAGACAGGTAAACAGACAGGTGACCAGACAGGTGAACAGGTAAACAGACAGGTGACCAGACAGGTGAACAGGTAGACAGGCGAACAGACAGGCGAACAGACAGGCGAACAGACAGGCGAACAGACAGGTGAACAGGTGAACAGGTAAACAGGTAAACAGGTAAACAGGTACTGACTCTTGAAGCTCAGGCTGAAGCTGTAGGGGTTGTACAGAGTCAGGACTCTCCTGTGGGAGCTCCTCTGCTCCGAGTAGAACAGCAGCTCGGAGGGGAACAGGAAGACCGGCAGCGGGGACGCCGCGCCCGTCTCGCCGCCCGCGTCCCCCCTCCCTGCCTGCCTCACCACCGCCTGGCCCCGGTCCCCTCTCCGGCCCCCCTGCTCCGCCGCCCCGCCCTGTCCCCGTCCGTCATGGCTGTCCCTCCTTCTCATCGGTCCGCGCTGTGTGGTGCCCCACGCGCAGGCATGATCCGAGCGCTGTCATTGGACGCCTTCTTGGCGTGATGTCACAGCATCGCCACCTGCTGCAGGTAGAGGAAGAAATAAAGGTACTTTAAGTTAAATGTTCTCAACTATTTTCATAGAGCACATAGATAGTTTTAATCAGTTCCCTCCTCTAACTGAGCTGGTTAGAAAAGTCTCTGACCTGATGATTATTGATCACGTGATCAGATCATTTCCGGTGTTTACCTTTCTGTTATTCCACCTTAAGGAGGATCAGGTTCCTCTCTCTCCAGCCGCGTTACCGTCCTGCTTCACAACAGTGTGTGTGTGCAGTATAAAACGCCTTACATGTGATTAATTGTTACATTAAACTATTTAAAAACAGGAAGTGGCCGCAGGTTGTTTGTTATTTAGCTCGGTTAGCTAACGCTAGCTGCTCCGTCACACCGACCCGGCAGGTAACCGGTGAAATAACGGAAACATGACGGAGCAGGAAACACCGGCAGCTGCTGTAAGTGTCCAGAGACCTGAAACCTGTCAGCGAGTAACGTGAGACTCGAGTTTATACAGTAGAAAAGACAGTTTAGTGTCTCTACTCACCGCAGCCTGACTCCACTTCCTCAGCAAGCTGTTGCTCTGACAGGCCCCGCCCCCTGTACCGCTGTCAGCCAATGTGTGTAAAGAAAGAGAAAAGCACAGCCTGCTATTGGCTGTTAGTCACGCCAGTCACTTTCGTGTTTACGCTGGAGTTTGTTTCTCATGTTTAATCTGTAAATAATCTTAATTAGATAATTAATTAAATTTATTATTGAAGTTCTAATAATTTAATTCTGAATTGATGATTCATGCGACTTATATTTTAGGCTACATTTGCTGTTTCACTTCAATAACGAACAAAAATAAACCTTATTATTATTATTACTATTATTAATATCATTATTATTATTAGTCCAAATGTTTAGTTTTCTTAATTGATATGGTTTTAAATAGATTACAAAATAATATAATTATATTTATTATATAAATATATATAATATTTTTTTGGGGGGGGGGGGGTGCGCTGAAGCTACAGTTGCTTTCATGTGCTGTCGGAAATATGAACACACAGTGTACAGTAAACAAGTTCCCTGAGGACATTTTAGAGTTGTTGTTTTTTTAACACATTGTTTGTTGCTGAGTAAACAGCTTCAATTTGTTTAGTGTTTATGTGTGAATGTGTCATTTTGCTAATATCACAAATGTTTATTTTGACACTGTAAATCAAACCGCTACGATCTTGGAAAGTAACAATGAGGCTTCAAAATGTAAATGTATGAAGGGTTTAAATTAATGTAAACACACATTTTATATCACAAGGTTCATTATTTATCATTATATAACAAATAGAAACAGTATTAAAATATGGTAACATATTAAATGAATATTTGTATACATGTGCATACACAAACATTTCGCAGTGCATAATGATAATAAATAATATAAATACATACGTTTTGTATATAACATTTGCTTTTTGTAAGTAATTTCAACCCTAAGCAGTAAAATTATAAATTAATCTACCTTGTATCATAAATAATAGCCTAAACACAAACAACCTAGACTGTCTGACTGAACAACGTAATGTTTAAATAACGTCAGTCTCGGTTTTTAATCTTTAAATTATTTAAAAAGCTTCAGTAAGTCTCTGCGTTGTGATTTACGAGCCGCAGATGGGACCCTGAAAGCAGCAGCGACACCCTCGTTACTGTTCGTCCATCTTCGTCCATCTCCGTGCTCGCCTCCTGATTGGTCCGCCGTGCTTCGCGTCTGCTCCGGACGTGCCCGCTCCAGAGAGTCACCTTGTACCGGTTACCGAGCAGCGGACCGTCCGGCCCAGAGGCTCACAGGCAGGCAGGCAGCGGGAATCTGACCGGGGACCCCGAAACATGGCGACCACGAAGCCCAAGACGTCTCCGAAGGCCATCAAGTTCCTGTTCGGAGGCTTGGCCGGGTACGTGCTGCTGCTAGCTCACATGCTAACGTGCTAACCCCAGCGGTCAGCGGGGCAGCTAGCGTTAGCCGCGCTCATGCTTCAAGTTTAGAGAAGAAAATACTTGTTATTGTGAGTAAATTAAACATGTGAGTGTCCTTCATCCTTCCTCCGGTCACGTGAGCAGCTCAGCCAGCTGTCAGCGGCAACAAGCAGCACGTAGTTTCATTCAGTTTAGCCTCGTGAAGCTAACTTTAACCCTGGAGGCTAACAGCAGGGACACGCAGTTCAGCCTGAGCTCAGCCGGCTCGGGAGCGCCTCTGCTCGGGGTTAAAGGCCGGCTGAGCCCCGGTGGAGCTCCGGCTGAGACAGCTCTGTGATGTTGTAATAACTCCCGCATGCTCTCTGTCAGTAAAAACAAACACAAGCCAGAGAAACAACATGTGAGACAGAAACGTTTTCTCCTGTCTGACTCACAGAAAACATGCAAAATAATCAATAGATAGTTTAATCAGAGTTCAAGCTGTCTGAGCCTCCATTTCTCTGTAAACACTTGTTTGTTTTCTGCTAAACTAACCAGTCTGGCAGCTTCCCGTCCTCCTAAACACCTGACTGACTGTGAGAGAACCTGAAGGTGGACCTGCTCGTGGAAACCAGGTCACACTGAGGCTCTGCTGATGTTTGGGCAGCGACACGTTTGTAGGACACCAGCCAGCTTTATGAAGCTGCGTTTGTCCGCGGAGCGTTGCATTGTGGGTGTCTCTTCTGGACAAACTGGGTCGAAGCAGCTGCTTGCACGCGCGGCCCCTTAAATGTCACGACCTCAAACTTTAAAACGCCTCAGGAGCCAGCTGCTGCTGTCAGACTGGCTCCAGACTGCGTTCACGCCCTGTGTGTGAATTCAAGGTGTGATCCTGCGGGTCCTTGAAGAGCCTGGAAATGTGTGGAATGAGAGAGAATACGCCTTGTGTGATTGGCTGAGGTGACAGCTGGCTGGTGGTCGAGGTGCGTCTACATGTGGGAGGGTTAAAGGTTTTTATTTATGAAGTCAGCCCACGGACTCGCTCTCGTTTGGATCCCTGAACCTCTCTGGGTCCTTGAAGACTCTTTATATCATGGACCAAAACGATCAGCGGGCTAATTGATAATGAAAGTCTTGGTTTGTTTGAACATTCAGTTCTGTTCAGTCCTGCGGCAGCTTGGAGGTCAAAAGTTCGGTTTAGGTCCTGATGGATCCTGACAGATCAGAGAACAGTTGCTGGTTTGAAGGTTTTAGTCCCGCAGATCGACCACACGGTGACCGCGTGTTCCTTACACCACTATAAGGATCTCTGGCACTTAATCCTCCGTTCACACTCGACCTGATCCTGGTGTCACAGCGAGTGTGCAGAGTTCACCACAGCACAGATA